AAAAATCACGTGATTAATCACAAAATGACTTTAAATTTTCGGACTATTTTTGAGTATAGATGAAATGTACCATATCAAGATAAATAAAGTATTTTGTAATCAAATATAAAAAGTTTTTATTATCTTATAATAAAATAAATATTTATTATATTTATAATAAATTTCTGCAGCCATTTTCTTTCAAATGTTTTAGATGATAGTTGATTAGATTTTGATTTGATTGGTTTTATTCAATTAACTAGGCTCAACCTGTTCATCACTTTTCATATTTTGGGTCTGGTTTATTAGTTATTCTTGAATGACATTTCTTTTTTATGATAACGTGATTGAGACAAATCAGAATGATAACGATAATTCTTCAATTCAACTGCGGTGAATTTTTCACGTGATAATGTGATCGGTACTTACATCGTGATTGATTACCTCTTATGGAAATCAGACACGGTATTTAAAAAATTAACAATTTACGCTGCTAATTCATAAAAAAATGTCAAAACGCAAAGCAAGCTCGGAAAAGAACGAAAAATGGAATGCAGTCGTTAAGATTTTAGAGTGTCAAATCGTCTTCTCGAATTCCTATGTTTTCTAAATATTTCTGTTACAGATAAACAAGCAACACACAGATTGGATTGGAACCCTCAACGATATCTGGACAAATCATCCTATCGCACGGATTCAGAAACTGGCAGATAAAAGTATCAAAAATTATAAGGTTATGTATTTGCATTTATTGTACGTGATTACGGGATTTAAGAGACGTTGGTACCGCTCCTGGGTTCATCCTATGCTTTGGACTCGGGATAAGATCCTCTGCTTTCCTCCACTTTCGGAGAGCGATATCAGCGGAAAGATGGAAACCACAGTGATCCTCTGCTTTCGTCTTGTGGCATAATCCTCTGCTTTTTCTCCATCTTTCACGGGCTCTGCTTTCTGTTGGACCATCCTCTGCTTTGGCACTGCAGTAAATTGAGTCCCTCATCTTGATGATTTTGATCCCGAAAAGCTATTTTCGCTTATATGTTCTTTGAATGGAACCAAACTTAAACTTAAACTTGTCATATGTTTATTTATTCTTTTCTTTCTATTTTAGAATGAAATCAAATCTCAAGCTGTCTTAAAATTCTGGACAGATATCGAAAAAGCAAAGCTCGGAAACAAATTATTTTCTATGCTTTACAGAACTGGTTAGTACTTATTTTCTGCGCATCGCATCATTTAATAATATAATTTGCTTTAACATTCAGGTTGAACATAGAAATGATTTAATCCCTAAATCCGAATACAATGAACTTCAAGATATTCAGGTCGAACATAGGGATAACTCATACCCCAAATCTGAAGATAATAATCAAGATGAATTGCATACAGAAGGCTTTAATAATGATGAAGAACAATACGAAGAGTGAGTAATGGCTTCTTGCACTTTAATATTATAGACTCTCTATTCACATTTATTATTCTTCTATGTAGAGAATATTTCGCACACATTATCGACCTTGATAATGCGACAGAACGAGAGAAACCTCAGTTCTTTACGGTTGAAGAGTGGTCGAAAATTATTTCCGAATCACAACCACCATCAATAAAATTACCTAAATCTGTTGAAGAACAACTCGACTGTTATCTGGGGGAAACGACTATAAAAAAAAATTCGGGAATCATTCGATTCATACAAAAAAGTAACTTTGGAAGAAGATATTTACACTCGTAAAGTCATGGAGCACTTGTAAGTGCCGTTAGTATGAAGAACCGAAATTACCCTTGTTTAATAATACCAAAATGATAGTATTTTTTGTCTTGAGAACCGACCAGATTATTTTGCGCAACGACCATGTACCGAGTCAACATTCTGTGTACGATTTATTGGACCCATAATTGAACCTTTTATCTTTATATTCAAAAATTTGGATATAACTTGGTAAGTATCTTCCTTTTTTGATGGGTTGTTCCAATGATTAATAGCTCTTTCTACTTGATTGTAGGGGTGAAGTTTCAAGCTTGTCCTCAGCAACCCGCCGAAATTTTCGTCTCGAAGAAGGCAAAAGACGTAGGATCGGTTCGAAAGGTGATGGTATTGGATCTTTAGTCAATCTTGATAATAAAGAATTTCTTGTTATCGAGCTGTCTGGAGCACCAACCCGTCTCCCAAAGAGACATATAGAGGGAGATAAAGTAAAAATTGAAAGATGCTTGGTTGATATACTTAACAACCATCTTGAAGATTATAAAACATGCGATTTTCAGCTTGCTAAGAAACTCCGAGTATTCGGTTTTCAAACTGAAGGTTAAATTTTATCCTTTCTGTTGCAATTGTGATTTTAACACAAAGACACCGAATAACCTGTAATCAGTAAATTATATTAGAAAGTAAATAAACTACGATTTATAAC